CTGCTATGGCATTGGTCACTTGTATGTATTTTGGCTGTGATTTTCCTAAAAGACATAGAAAAGAAAAGTAATAGAAATACACACATATATGTATATATATGTGTATACACACACATGCACAGCATATAGTAAATAAGAGAATTTCATATCTTTACAAATATATTCAGAAGAGAACCACTTCAAACACATGGGTTTTACTGAATGAAGATTGCTTCTACCTTTATGTGGTGGTCTAAGGTTTCTGTCACTTTCTTTGTTAGTTGTATTTGAAAGCAGGTGAGTAAACCAGAAAGAAATGATTCAGTCTGCCTGCTCCAGGCACAGAAGTAGGGGGATATAGGCCTGCAGCTCTCAGGCTTTCTGTGGGCCTGCTTACCCACTCTGTTTTGAGGAAGAAACTGGGGGATGTCAGCCCAAGCTTTGCTTGGCCACATCTGCCTCCACGGCTAGCTGAGAGTCACATAGATGTCACTTGTCACACACACCCTTGGATCTGAGCTGCTTAAGGGCGTTACCACACATCACAGCTTGGTGCTGGGTCTCAGCATGGCGGGGTGGCTAACCAGGGCTTGGTGTCAACCACATTTGGGGTGATGAGGACACTTGGAGGACACAGAGCCACCATGCAGCAGGAGTCGCCACTGCTGACAGCCAGTGAGATTGGTGCCCATTTTGCCCCAATCCTCCTCAATCCCTTTTCAAGTGGAAATTTTGCAAGTCGACTTCTGCAGCATGCGTAGTACAATTTGGCTGACAGCAGTTTCTGGCAAAAGAAATAACCAAATTATTATTCAGTCATGGGTTTTTAACAGCCGCAAAGCAAGTGGATGTTAACTAAATGATGCAATTTATTCCCTTCCCTCTTATTGCCAGCTTGCCTATTACAGAGCGACTGCCAGTTTTCAATAAGTGGTACCCAGATGGTATTCGCATGCCGCCCACTTGGTTACAGAGCCGAAGCGGGGAATAACTCGGCAGACACTACAAGCTGTGGGTCAATTGAGGGGGAATGCCTGTTGCTTCACAGTTTTGCATATGTAAATCTGTTAATGTTATGTCAGTATTGTGCGGGCTAAACACAAGCATTGCCTTTCTCTGGGGGCCCAGCTGAACTTGGACCACAGCCCAGTTATACCGAGGCTCGGAGAGCGAAGCTGCAGTTTGAGGATGCTGCACCGCCCGCTCCCCTCCACTCCTGCCTCCATGCTCTTGTGTTATCTGCAGCCCAAGCTGGATGCAGGAAGTGTCTGCCACAGGCCGACTCCATAATAGGACAGGCAGGCCGGGTTTTATGAGCTGGCTGCGGAGGGAGGAGTGTGAGTATGTGTCTATTTTTAGGCCAGCCTTCAAGACAGTTCCTTTGGCCCAGCCCGCGCCTGCCTGCCTCGCTCACACTCTCCTCTGTGTGTCTGCCACACTTCTGCTCTCCATTTCATCAACTGCAGATGTGGCACACAGCCGTCTTAGAAAAGTCATGAACTGTGTCGTCTGTGCGGCTTAACAGCCAACATCTGCTGCAGCAGGCTGAAGGAAGAGGCAGGGAAATCGTTTTCGGGAATGCATTCAAGTGCCTCGACTTAGCCTCTACTTTGGCCTGTGCAGACAATTATTTTACACTAATTGCATCAAGATAGCAGCTATAAAAACGAGATTTCAATCGCTCTGCTCCCCCACTCCTCTTGTGAAAGTTGCAGTTACAAAGGGGTAGTTCTTTTTTCTTTTTATTGTGGTTTGTTTCTTGTTCTCAAAAGCTTATTACATTGGGTGCAAACAACAACAAAAATGCCATAAAAAGGCAAGAATCGTAATATGCTTAAGAGCTAAAAAGACCTATGGTGTTGGTTTAACCAATGAAAATATTCCTGCAGGTATTGTAAAATTTATGTGCCATATGAAAAACATTAAGGGTGTTGTTTTTTCACAGAGGGAAATGTTCATTGTTGAACCATTTTGTAAATTATTTTAATGCTGCATTTCTGCCTAAACCTCGTGATTTTGATATATAAGCCAGTTTAATGTTTTCTGTACAGACCCTGGCTTTTCTTAAATTTTATATATTGGAAAGCCCATGTTTGTATTGGAAACTGCTGGTTTCTTTCATATTGAAAATCTGTCTTGCGTGGCGTGATGCCATGTGGCAAAGGAGTAGTTTGACCAGAGTCGAACCTCGAGTGTTGACTTTTGAGTCCTAAACACTAGGCAAGACTGTGTGAGTAAATATCTAAAAGGTGTTTTTTGGTTTGTTTGTTTTAAAACCAGGTTTCTTTTGACAGCAATAAGAATAGCATCTCCGCAGTACAGTATGGACTTTCTAATGCATTGGTCTGTTTTCAACTTTTCATCTTCTTGTAACAGAGGCAACATTGTGTTCAGTATCTGAGCCTTAACTTTTTTTTTTTTTTTTTTTAATGCTCTCAGAGTAAATTCTGGTGAAATACGCATTCCAGCATCTCGGATTCTCTTGAAAGATTTGTTTCTGTGACATTTTGCTGTATCTGTTGTGCAGCTAGAGTAGCATGCTTCTCTCCTCACATTTCAAGTCTCTAGACTTTGTTCTGAAGAGCCAGATGGAAGTATGCAGATTGTTTTTATCTTTTGTCCTTCACACTGTAACCTGATCTCCAGCATATCTAGACATCTAGCAGAAAATTTACTATGTGAAAGCAAGGAAATGATTTAGAAATATGGACCAGCCAGGAAAGAAAGAGCTCAAGATGTACTTTGTATCAGAGTAAATCTCTCCACCCAACTCCCATACCCTTCTTTTTTTATTTTCATAAAAAATGCTTTTCTCATCTAGGATATGTCTACATATGCCCAAATATTCTTCTTCCCTTTTAACAGGGACTGAGAATTATAATTGACTAGTGAGTTTGGTAAAAGTGTAAATAGGCATGCAATGAAAGTTGATTACCTAATAATTGAAAGCTTGGAAAAAGCATGAATTGGTAGAATCCTAGACTTGGCAATGGCCTTATAAATTAGGGCAGTGCAATTTGCTAAAAGAAAGGACTTGTCCGAAGTTACATACCACTGTTGAGACAGATTCAGGACTCAAAGCCAGCATTGCCTCAGTGGCTCCAGGAAACAACGGAGTCTCAGACTTCATGGTTTGTGGGGTTTTAATGGCAAGATATTTGCAACATTTTTGTTAATGCTCTCCTACCCCTTTAAATTGTGGTCCTAAAAACCTTGTTTCCTTCTCATCTTTGATTGGTGTTTGGATTTACATTAGTAACTAAACATACTCACCACCATATTAGGGTGCTGGATATTTGCTACACTTGTAAGTGTACGCAATCCGCACTTATGTCTCTTTTCATCCATGTTCAGCATAGTGCACACATTTGGAGTCAGGAGACCTGGGTTTAAATGCCACTGTGGCAGTTTGGAGAAGCGATGCCTTAAGTGAGTCACCCTGACATCTCCAGGTCTCTGTTCTCCCCGCTCTAGAATGGTGATGATAATAGTACTTGCCTTAGGGTTGTCACAAGAAGTTAATGAGATTACGTACATGAGACACTTAGCATGGTGTCACTGCAGCACATACAGTGTTCTTGTCCTTAACTCAAGTTTATTATTTTAATTATCTGTTACCCTTGACAACAAAGGAAAGGTATAGTAGTGATAAATGCCATATTTAACCTTGAGTTTCAACATTTTTCTCCTGTAGATTGGTTTGTGCTTCTCACCCTTCTTGTCCCCCCTCCCTATTTCTTTTCTAGCACCTTCTGCAGCATTTCTTGTTTTACCTTTGGGTGTCATTAGACGTTGTTTACATCGTTGTCTAGAGGACCAGTGCTGTTTGCAAAAAGCTCAGGTGCTTCCTCTCTTGCTTACCCTTATTCTCTTCCTTGTCTAGTGACATTATCTTGAACTTTCTAGCTGGGAAAGACTAAAGGGGATTTGTCACCTGGTAGGGGTCCTCACCGAACTTGTGTCATACTTGAGAATGTTTTGCCTCATTATCGTCAGTAATATCTTCAATCCGTACCATTAAGACCAACTTAGGGCTTGGAGAAATGAATATTTAAGGGCATATTTATTGCCCAGCTTAGAAAATACAGATTTTAAGTGTTTTCTGCTATTGTTAAACTTTGTCCATTCAACAGGTGTTTATTTAGATGCCTACTATGTGCTAGGTGTGCAGGATGAGCAAGACAGACACTATTTCTGCCCTCATGAAGCTTAAAGCCTGACATGAATCTTGACATAGTATATTTCCCTAAAATCCAGCTTTAGTTTTACCTTCGATTTCTGTTAGGCTTTGGTCCTTGTTTCTTGTACATCTACCGATTGATTTTCTACAACTCCAGTTTAAAATTTATGCTAATAAAAGATTTCAAGGTATTTTATTTATAATAGTATCAAAAATACTTAGGAATAGATATAATAAAAGAAATATAAAACTCATATGCTGAAAACTACAAAATATTCTTGAAAGAAGTTAAAGACCTAAGTAAATGGAAAAATATCATATGTTCATAGACTGGACGACTTAATATTGTTATCAAAGTGGCACTCTTCACGTTGATCTAGAGATTTAATTGCAGTCCCTACCAAAACCCCAGGTATTTTTTTTTTTTTGGCAGAAATTGATAGATTGATGCTAAAAGTCATATGGAAATGCAAGGATGCCAGAATAGCCAAAACACTTGAAAAAGAACAGAGATGGCTGGGCGTGGTGGCTCACACCTGTAATCCCAGCACTTTGGGAGGCCAAGGAGGGCGGATCACGAGGTCAGGAGATTAAGACCATCCTGGCTAACATGGTGAAACCCCATTTCTACTAAACATACAAAAAAAAAAAAAAAAAAAATTAGCCAGCCGTGGTGGCGGGCACCTGTAGTCCCAGCTACTCAGGAGGCTGAGGCAGGAGAATGGCATGAACCCAGGAGGTGGAACTTACAGTGAGCCGAGATCACACCACTGCACTCTAGCCTGGGTGATAGAGCGAGAGTTTGTCTAAAAAAAAGAAAAAGAACAGAGTTGGAGGACTCACACCTCCCAATTTAAAAACCTAAAACAAAGCTACAATAATCAAGAAAGTATGGTACTAGAATAAGTATGGAGATACAGAACAATGGAATAGAATTGAGAGTCAAGAAATAAACACTTATATTTATGGTCAAGTGATTGTCAATAAGGGTGACAAGCCAATTCAATGGAGAAAGAATAGTCTTCAACAGATGATGCTGAGAAAAACAGTGTATTCACATGCAAAAGAATGAAGTTGGACCTCTGCTTTACAACATACACATTGAAGACCTGAAAGTATTAAGACCTAAATATATAAAACTCTTAGAAAAATTATAGGAATAAATCTTCTTCGTGACCATGGAATAGGTAGTGTTTCTTAGATGTGAAACCAAACCACAAGCAACAAAGAAAAAATAGATAAACTGGGACCCAGGATTTCTACTCCTGCATATGAACTCAAGAGGAATGGAATTGTCTATCTACAGAAAAGCATGTACATAAATGTTCACAGGAGAATGATTTATAATAAGCAAAGAGTGGGGGGACACCTCAAATGTCTATCAACTGGTGAATCAACAAAATGTGATGAATGCTTGCAATGCAGTGTTTTTCAGCCACAAAAAGGAATGAAGTACTGCTGCTGCACCATGGATGAACCTTGCAAACACTGTGCTAACTGAAAGAAGCCAGACACCAAAAGACCACATATTCAATTCCATTTATAAGAAAAATCCAGAACTGGCACATCCATTAAGACACAAAGTAGATTTGTAGTTGCAGGGGGCTGGAGAGAGAGAGGAATGGGGAGAGACTGCTAATGGGTATAGGATCTCTTTTGGGGGTGGTAAAAATATTCTAACTTATATCGTGGTGATGGTTTCACAACCCTTGAATATACTAAAATCCATTTAGTTCTGTTGTTTAAAAGGGTGAATTTTATGGTATGTGAATTGTATCTCAGTAAAAAGATTTCACAGTCTGTCTGCATTTCTTTACTTGTATAGTGAGGCACCGCTGATTGTGCTTTCTCTTGGCTAATGCAGGGGTCAGCAAATTTCTGTAAAGGGCCAAATAATAAATCCATTAGGCTTTGCAGGCCATACAGTCTCTCAGCTCTCTCAGTTTTGCCATTGTAGTTCAAAAGCAGCCATAGACAATCTGTAAGTGACTGGGTGTGGTTGTGTTCCAATAAAACTTTATTAATACCGAAATTTCAATTTCACATCATGTTCATGTGTCACTAAATAGTATTTTCATTGTCTTCTTCAACCATATAAAAATGTAAAAATCACTCTCGGCTCATGGCCTGTGAAAAGCAGGTGGTCAGAAAGATTTGGCCTATAGGCTAGTACTTTGCCAACTTCTATGCTGTTGCTACAAACAGCTTTAAATACATGTTAGCAGCTTCATTAGAGGAGATATTATTCTTGTCCCTATTTCGAAGATGAGGCAGTTGAGAATTCCAGAGGCTGAGACGAGCCACTCAGATACTGGTTGCCAGGGCTGGTCCTCTACTCTATTGAGTTCCAGAACCTGTGCCAAGAAACCACCATCTTCCTGTCTGACCCATCTGGGTCAGTCAAGGCAGCTCAGACCCTTCTAGCTGTGCAGGTCACTGCGTGCTTCTCTGACTTGGCCTCTGCGCCTGCCTGGTGCCATTCATTATCCTGCATCTTCCATTCATTCTGGAATGCCCACTTCCTTCACTCCCTTCTAGTATGCTTTTCCATACTGCTGAGCCAACACCCACATTGAGCTGGGGGAAAAACAAATCCACCACCTTGCCTCGCTTTCAGACTTTCCTCGTGACTCACTCCTTCTGGGAAGGCAATGCCTTGGCCACCTTTTGACCCTAAATCCAGCTGGAACCGAGTCCGCCTTGCTGGCTGCTGAGCTCTGCCTTGATCATCTGTCTTTCGGGAGGCAGATTGGCTGTGCATCATTTCAGCCCTCTGCAGTGACAATTTTTTTAGAGCCTCTTTGTTTCATTTAGTACCCAGCCCTTGGTTAGGACCTTCAAGGAAGTTAAAACCCCAGTGGCACCTTTTATTTAGGGATCGCTGACTCACTCGGCCTCAGTCTTCTACTCGCCTTTCCCACCTCCACCTGACATCCTGGGACAGTTGGCAGACCTTCCCTCCATGGCTCAGGTGGGCAGGAGGCAGAGTCAGCAGGGGAGGTAAGTCACTTCTACATCTCATCATCGCTACTATTCTGCACATGTGTTGCCACTGGGGGAAATGGGACCCTATCTAGAGGGTGTCTTCTCCCACCGCACTCTGTGTGGGTGGGAGAACCCACACCAAATGATCATCATGTTGGATTTGCATCATGGCACATTGAGAATGTGTTCAATGGGACTGTGGATACTATGGAACCTTTCCCACGGAGTCCTTTGTAACGCCTCTTCTAGGATCCAGTTCATTTCTCAAACACCCATACATTTCTGTCCTTTATATGCAAGGATTTTATTCTGGAAGCTGTGTTATCTGTACTTTTCCAAGACAGAGCAACAACTACCAAAAAAAAAAAAAAAGACATGGTTTAGAAATGTTTAAGTGATAAATGCAAGCTCTTTATTTGTGACTCATAATGTGGTTAAGAGTCCTTTGAGTTTAATACAGTCTCCATTCCTAGTAGTTTGGACTGTGTGAAGTACTACAATTCAGAGTCTGTGCAAAGATGATCCTGCCAGTTGCTGACTAGGGTGACTGGGGTGTGGAGGTGAAGACATAGATCCTCTGAGTATTTGGTTAGAGGATGTGTAGGGTAAGCGAATTGCATTGTTCTGCAATTCCTGGGACACAAATCAATTGAGAGTCCAGAAACTTTTCTTCTTTGGCCTAAAATATTTAAAAAGTACTCATTGTAGGGTTTCTTTGGTTGTAAGGAACAGAGGAGAATTTGTTGGGATGATTTAGAGTTGGATCATAGAATCCATGGTGAAACTGAAAACTGGAATCCTTCAGGACATGAGGCACTTTCTCTCTGTGTCACTCTTCTTGTGTCTCGTTGTGTTTTGACTGTGCTTTATTTTGCTCTCCCTCCCTGCAGACTACCTCAAGGCAACTGTTAGCTTGCAAATGGCCTCTCAGGACTGCCCCCAAGGGTCACCCTTGATCCCCAAGACTTTCAGAGTTCTGTCATAATATTCTGTCTGAATAGTTAGTGTTCTTGCTAGGAGCCTTGGTGTTGTAGGTAGCTAACAGGCAAGCCAGGGTGGAGGGGACGGGGAGGTGTGTGTATTAGATGGATCCTGGGATATCTTTAGGACTCTGGAATGCCGCCATATCTCAGAGTGGCGCAGAACCAGGAATGGGAATCACCAGGAGCTTGAACAGAGTCCTCTAACTTCTCATTCCTGTTTCTTTCTTTTCTTTTGAGACGGAGTCTCCCTCTGTCACCCAGTCTGGAGTGCAGTGGTGTGACCGCAGCTCATTGCAACCTTGACCTCCCAGGCTCAAAGATCCTACCTCAGCCTCCTAAGTAGTTGGGACCACAGGTGCAAGCCACCATGTCCAAGCTAACATTTTGTGTGTTTTTTTGTTGTTGTTAGAGATGGGTTTTTGTCATGTTGCTTAGAGTGGTCTTGAACTCCTGGCGGCCTCAAGTGATCCACCTGTCTTGGCCTCCCAAAGTGCTAGGATTCCAGGCGTGAGCCACTGTGCCTGGCCTCATCCCTGTTTCTCGCTGTGTATCTCTGCTTTGCCACTGGCTCTCAGCAGACTCACCCCTCTGCTTCTCAGGTCACGACCTGCTTGCCCTGAGTTCTGAGTGGACCTGTTAAATTCTCCTCCAGTGAAATAACATCCTACGTGAAGGTTAGGTTCTGAAGTTAGCATATAAGATGAAAATTGCTTATGGTTAAAATGTCCTTTCAGAGCTTTGGAAGTCACCAGTAAGCAGGGCCAGATACACCCGGTCTGTGCGGCATGTGGGTTCAAAGACCCACTAAGGGAACATAGGATTTTCAGCTCCTTTTGCTCCTGGGCATTTGCTCATCATTTGCACTATTACTAAATGCTCTTCCCTTCCCTGCTCCTCCTCCGAGCATTAGTACATGTCTTTGTGCTAGTTAGGCTTGAGTACATTGTGATTTCACTAGATCATACTCCCAATTTCAAGTTCAGAGTGAAGAATGTAGAGGTTCTGGTTGGTCTAGCCCTGGCCACGTATGTGTCCCTCATAGGTCAGCTCTGGCTCAGAGTGGCTGGTTACATTCAGGAAATGCTCATACTTTTAAATTAAATTTGCAAAAATAAGAGAGACTTGGAACAAATAATGAGAATGAGACCTAGAAAGTGACAGTTGGAATATGGTCCCTGGCTGCGGTGACCCCTTAAATAGAGCATTTTTCAGGGTCTGCATAGAGTCACCTGTGGACCACTGTTGAAATGCAGATTTCTCAACCCCATCCAACCCCACTCTGGCTGTGTCTCCATCTTCTAGAGGTTGAGCCAAAGATCTTCATTTTCAAGTGAGCAAACCAGATGAATCTTATCCACACTAAACTTTGTAAGAATTACTGCTTATAAGAGGAAGTTATTGGGCTGTTTTAACTACGATTGATGTAAAGATTTTTAATTCTAGTGAGAAGTGGAGTTGACCCTTGAACTGTGCGTGTCTACTTATACGTAGATTTTTTTCTGACCACATGCAGAGCGAAAACTCAGTATTGGTGAATGTGAAACCAGTGTCTAGGGAGAGCCTTTGGGTTTTTGTTTTTTGTTTTTTGTTTTTTTTTGAGATGGAGTTTTTGCCCAGGCTGGAGTGCAATGGCGCAATCTCCACTCACTGCAACCTCTGCCCCCAGGTCCAAGCGACTCTCTGCCTCAGCCTCCTGAGTAGCTGGGATTACGGGCGCATGCCACCAAGCCTGGCTAATTTTGCATTTTTAGTAGAGACAGGGTTTCACCATGTTGGCCAGTCTGGTCATCTGCCTGCCTTGGCCACTCAAATTGCTGGGATTACAGGTGTTTGCCACCGTGCACAGCTGCCTTTGAGGGTTTTGCAGGGCAGACTGCAGGACTTGAGTATGCACGGATTTTGGCCTACTTGTGGGTTCTGAAGCAGTCCCCCAGTCTACAGAGGGACAACTGTGATTATGCTCCTTCTCTTTTTCGAACAATTGGGCTTCCTGCAACACCAAGGCTTAGGGCTTTTTCTGTATTCATTTTGAGTTACAATCACCTGAAACCCATTTTTGAGGAAGGTGAGTTGCAAAGAAATGTTGAGTTCTGTTATTTTTCCTTATATTTCTTGTATCTCTCTGGAGTATGGCATCATAATAGCCGAAGACTTTAATTCATTCAACAAAAGAGTAGGATGAAGACTAAAATTTGTCTGGAGGATGTTTTGCGTGTCATCCCAATCTTTGTTATTGCCCCCTTTAAAATACCTGAAAAATAATTCTGCAGAATTAAAGAGTGAGGGGAAGGATTTGAAATTTTCGCAGAACAACAACGGGGTTGGGGATGCCCATTTTCCACACAGTCGAAAATCTGGGTGTAACTTATGATTCCCCAAAACATAACTACTAGAGCTTACTGTGGAACAGAAGCCTTCCTGGTAACATAAGCAGTCAATTAACACGTATTTTGTATGTTCCATATATATTATATTGCTGTAGTCCGACAATAAGCTAGAGGAAATGAAATGTTATTTCATAGGGTATCATAAGGAAGAGAAAATATATTTACTCCTGATTAAGTGGAAGTGAATCATCATCGTTCTTTACATTGAGTAGGCTGAGAAGGTGGAGGAAAGGGAGGGGTTGGTCTTGCTTGCGCAGGGCTGGCAGGGGCGGAAGAAAATCCTCATATAAGTGGGCCTGTGCACTTCCAACCCAGGTTGTTCAAGGCTCAACTGTACATACCATGAGAATGCATCTTGCCTAATTAACAGTTGTGAAATGTTGAAGTTATGTGGTATTTTTATTTCATATTAAGAAAGTCAAAAATATTTTTGTAGCAGTTGAGTTCTCACTGGCCTCTGCAGAAGTATTTGTTAAAACTTGTATGGTAACTCTACCTCTGGTAGATTCTAAACTCTTTCTTTCTGCTTGCAGGAGCAAGATGTATCAACCAGGGTCCTATGCTTTGATTTGGACTGTTTGAATATGACTCATGTTTGTTTCCTTCAAGGATGAAGTGTGTATACCTCAGTAGATCCTGTCCGCCTCCCCCCGAAAATGTATGCTTAAAAACAAATCATGAAGTTATTTGCTAGATATGTGGTTGGAGTGGCCAGCGTAAACTTAGTTGTTGCTTAAGGCACTTTCTGTTCTCTGTGGAACAGAAGGGTGGGGCAGGTGGGGAACTGGAAGAAGCAGCTTCCCTTTGCTTTTCCTGCCAACTTTAGTAAAAAAAGGAAAAAAAAAAAAAAAAAAAAAAGAAGGAGGCCCCACCTTGTCTTCATCTCCTCTCTGCACAGTGGGGCATGGATTGGGAGGAGATCTTGGCAACACTTTGAGATTAAATAAGTTATTTAAAAAATTTCCTATCTTAAGGAAACTCACACTGACACCAAATTAACTTTTTTAAAAAAATCATTCCACTAGGACCTTTCTTGCCAACAGTTTTGGGTAAAACACTGAAGGTAAGATGACAGTCATCCAGGGAATGTATTTGGTTTGTGGGACCATCCACTTTTGGGTGTTTGAGTAACTTCATTAACAGTTTCTTTGTGCCGGCTGTGGTGGCTCATGCCTGTAACCTCAGCACTTTGGGAGGCTGAAGTAGGCCGATCGCTTGAGCTCAGGAGTTGGAGACCAGCCTGGGCAATATGGCACAACCCCGTCTCTATTAAAAAATACAAAAATTTGGGTGTGGTGGCACACATCTGTAGTTCCAGCTACTCAGGAGGCTGAAGTGGGAGGATCGCTTGAGCCCAGGAGGGGGAGGTTGCAGTGAGCTGAGATCACGCCACTACACAACAGTCTGGGCAACACAGTGACACCCTGTTTCAAAACAAGAATTTTTTTTCTTTGCTGTGCCAGGTGATGGAGGAACTTTTGCAAGAGAGATAAAGAAGACTGCCTATTAAGTCAATGGAAGCCTGTAGGACTTGAGGTTTCATTGAAATAAGTAAAAGGAATGGTAGAATCGAGCATGTGGAAGTCACATAAATGACATTCGATATTTTTAGAGCATTCTGAAATGGTGGGGTACACAAAGCATA